TCCCAATCTTTTTCAGTCCTGTCCACTTCTAATGTTTTCAGACCGCACCCACCCCGCATTACAGCAAAGTTGAGATATTCCTGAAAACATGACATCAGGTTTATTTGAGATGCAACAACATGTGTCTTGGTGGAGGTTGAAAAGTCATTTTCCATGGCGTCGACGAATTCCGGAATTTGCACGCTTTCACGCAATTGTGACTTGATTGAAGCAAAGATCTTTTTGTAGCCGATGCGTACTGTGCCGGTTTCAATGTTGATATTCCATTTCTCGTAGCTGACACCACGGAGACGTTCCTCATCCCAATGCCGTCCACTGTGCAGATCACCTTTGCGTGTGTCATCCCCAGATCCTACGATATCCTCAGCACGGTGCCCATACTTGGCTGCTTGTCAACTGCCTTAGCGATTTTCAAAGCCACGGGGAACCACCAGTCCTCAGGTGTGGTGCGAAGTGCCCAATGATTCAACCACGCTTCATACACAGCGCCAAAGAGACCAAAGCTGGCATACCGAAAGTGCAGCAATTCATCATTTTTGGCGGAGCCAACCGCGTGTGATAATTTTGCGGACAACGGACCATCCCTTAAAACATTGAGTACTGATTTCGCAGGGATTTGAGGAGGTGACTTCTTTCGAAATTCTTGGAGCGGTGTGGGCTGCAATCGTTCATCGAATTTTAGATTGACAATGAGAAGTTTGTTTGAGGCCGTTGGATTAATCTGGCTGGGTAATTTCACCATGGTGCATTTCTTTGTTGGAAGAAGAATACTCTGGCAACTCTAGATAGGCGGAAGTTTGCGATCTTGGGAGTTGAATGTGAATTCTGACAAGACTCACTATTTGGATACCTTTCCGACCACGTGTGCTTCTTAGGAGCATTCTAGGGAGTCACAAATACCTTGGCGGGTCTCAAGCTCACCAAAAGATTTTCGACTTTTCCTTGTCGTCGTTTGACTAACTCAACTTGTAAAAACCGCAGCATGAGCAACGCTAGTGAATCATCTTCTGATGAATTTGAAAATGAATGGGAAGGCAGCAATGGGAGTGAAGAAGAAGAGTCAAGCACCGAGGAAAAGACAATAGCAATTGTGGAAAAGGTTTCAGCAAGGCTCAATGGGTTGAAAGAGGCTAGTGCTTCAGTCAAGCTCCGGGACAAAACAAAAGAAAACCTTCACATGCTGCACAAATATCTCGATTCAAGGTCGAAAATTGATGATCGAATCCACCAAGTGGACGAGTTTCAGAGGATTGCCACCTTCCCTTTGGTTACTGATTCAGGTGGAATTGAGACCAAAAGCGACGATCCGCTTGAATTCAAGTCAGACTTCCAACAACAGTTGGCTGAAGGCAAGCCAGTCATAACTTTGGATGAGCGCCACATTGTCGCGAGAATAGCCAAACCAATTTACAGGCAAACCCTCGAGAACATCGTTGACCAAGTTTACAGCTTTTGTGGATGCAACAAAGACGACATCCAAATACTGGGTGTCCCTCTCAAAGGCTCGGAACGTGCTCAAGAAAAGGCCGATGATGATTATAGCAAACGAAAGCCCGGTCCCGGAGTCTCGTGGTTGTACGACATTGTCCGTGCAAGTATTATCTTTTCTACAACAGAGCAGATCGCAAGATGTCTGGAAGCAATCCGGGACGATCCATCAATACGAGTGGTGAAAGCCAAGAATCGATTTGAAAAGCCAACTCTTACAGGGTATAGGGACTTCAATCTGTGCATTCAAATCGATATTCCTGGCTATAGATTCAGGCATATTTGCGAGCTTCAAATCCACCATAAAGCTATCCAAGTTTTACAGACAGAACTCAAAACAACAACATCGCAGTAGTTTTACCAAAAAAATCAAAATTACGTCCAGCCATGGCAATGTATCAGCTTTCATTGGGTATTGCGAAAGAGCACCTTGGCGAAAACCATCTATATGTTTCCAATACATTGAATGGGATGGCAAATGTCCTTCAAGATCTTGGTTGTCTGGATGATGCAATAGACGCTTACCGAGAGTCTCTGGAGATTCGAGCAAAGAATCTTGGAAAAGACCACTTGTCTGTGGCACAGACGTACAACAATCTTGCAAATGCTCTGTATTTGCAGGGGGGACAAGGACTTGAGCGGGCAATGGAATTGTATGAAGGTTTGCTTGACATTAAGAAACGGAATCGCGGAGAATACCATGTGTCTGTTGCAAACACATACAACAATATGGCGGTGGTATATCAAGGCAAAGGAACGACTAAGGAAGCGATTGATATGTACCATTTATCTTTGAACATATGCAAGGTGGCTCTTGGAGAAGACCATTCAAGCTTTTCCAATGCATTTGAAAATGCACTTGGGCTACTCAAAGGCCAAGACGACGAATCCAAAGCTCTTGAAACCTTCTACATATTACTGGAAATCCAGGCAACGATACTTGGTGGGAACCACCCATTGATTGCAGAGACTTGTCGTTACATGGGTGAACTACTCCAATCCAAGCAACAAAGGTGCGACGGCTACTTCAAAGCGGCAATGGAGATGTATGAACACTCGCTTGAGATCTATGTTGAAACTCTCGGTAAAGAGCACTGGCAGGTTTCCATAGCGTGCTCAAAGATAGCGAACATGCTGGATGATCATAATTTTTTGCTGCACTGCCGCAATGCACTTGAGTTCAGTCACAAGGCACTGGGGGAAGATCACTGGCACTTTCTTGATTGCTACTCAAAGTTTCAGAATATGGTGGAACGAGAAGTCATGCACCTGCAAAAACTTGCTTTGCCGGAAAAAGCTATCGAAATTATTGACGAAGCCTGCAGCCTTGAAAGTCGTGTTTCCGACCATGCACGATCACCTCGCATCTCCAAACTCATGACAGAGCTTGATCTATATCTCTACACAATTAGATGGAAACAAAACGCCTAACAAGGCCACACGGGGTCAAGCTTCGTTTGGTTGTATTAATATCTTCAATACACAAAGTTTGACCTTTGTTACATCTGAAACAGTTGCCTGGTGCTTTTTGGTGTCATGGAACTTGTCCTATATTGTCCAGTACTTCCCCCTTAATGCTATAGCGATATTCCCATAATTGACAGTTTAATTGGGTGAAAAGGACAAGGACACCGTATTTTTATCACCACCCCATGTGAAGCCTATGTGATAGATGAGAACCCCTCGTCATTTTTGGAAAGTTCCCATTTGATTTTGTCACAGAACCTTGGGAAGCGAAGCCGTCTGACCGTGATTTCCATCATATGCACTTTCCATTTTCCACCCACCGGATTTGTCTTTTAAGGACATCCAACAGACCTTTTGAAGTCGACCCATTTGATTGGGAGCCATCCGATGGCTTCCTCTTTCTCATTGTCCATGTCATCTCATCAAATGGCCAACGCCTTAAAAGGACCAGATCCTTGTCAATTTATGACAACTACAATGACCTACAAAACAAAGTTACCTTGCCTTCTGAAGAACAGTCAATGGTGATTAAAGGGCATACAGATTATTGGGGTTAGGGTTGGGGTTAGGGTTGGGGTTAGGGTTGGGGTTAAAGAAAGAAATAACTCAATACCGGTACTTGCACACAAGTTCGATATGACGCGTGATCACCTGACCGTCGTTCATAGATGAGTCAATATCGAATCCATTGGTTCGACCGCTTTCTTCCGTCTACGTTAGAAAAACTTGGAAGAGGGAATATGATGAAGTACCCCGGTACCGGTACTGTAGATAATCCAAACTTCCTAGTTGCAAAAAATATATTCCCAAAGCAAAAATGAACTTACTCCGAGACGGGGAATCGAACCCCGGTCTCCCGCGTGACAGGCGGGGATACTAGCCACTATACTATCTCGGATTCCTGCTTCACAAGGTGAAATTTAACTACACAATCCTTATTGTACTGCCATCGTGAGATACGTGTTTTCCCATCTTTACTGTAAGCTTGCAAGTCCTATGAAGAACACATTGATGATGTAGACGAAATCATATTTTGTAAAATATTATTTTGTCTATATGATCTTGCTAACCGTCTAATTTCCTTTGTCAAATTCGGTCTTGGCTTGACTCAAAGCATCAAAGATACGTTTCGCCAAAAAGCGTTGGTCAGGTGGCAAATCGTGAGTCTTATCTGGATGCACAACAAGAGTTGCCTTGTGGAAGGCACGTTTCACCTTTTTATCTTCCAGCAAGTCACCAATACCAATTTGCTTCCACTTAGCTCCTGGCCACAAGA